CGGGTCTCGATGATCACACTAAAAGTGTCACCAACTTTTATCAAGCCAGTGTTTTTCAGAATTATCGTAGTTTCACTTGTATTAATCAATCCCACTGTTTCTTTTGGTTTCGAAACTTTAGGCATCTGCCTATTTGATGATTTTAGACGCGCTTCCTTTATGGATGCAAGTGTCGGTATTGTCATTTTATCAGATCCTACTTTTGTTATGTTTTCAATTGGCGATTCTAATTTTTCGGTTTGAGGTATCGAAGTCTGTTGAAAGAAAAGTAATTAAATGAATAGCAATTAGGCCTACGGTAAATTTGCAAAAGGGTAGATTGTAAAGTTAGGTAATTAACTCTTAGCATCATTGTGCAAAATTGTGTGGACCCGTAGTGATTATCAAACTCCGTAGAGAGAAACATTTTGGAACTCTTCTACTACAACGACAGGGAGGGGCGGATTCAGTAGGGGCATGGGGGCATGTGCCTCCCCGTTTTGCCGCAAATCAGTGTTATGTGTTGCTCACTTGTCTATTCTGAAACCCTCGTTTGACAAATTCTGGATCCACCCCTGAACGACTTGCGCTGAAGGTGCCCAGAGAACCAGCGAATCAGTCTACTTGCCCTAAAGATACTCTGTGTTAAAAGTACAGAAGAATCAGATAATATGTAACCTACACCAGGCCTCTATCATCATCATAATCGTAATCACCATTATCATTATATTCTTCATCGTCAACATCATCACAAAATCAATAACATCACTCTTCTCAACATCATCATCGTCGTCATCATCTTCATCATCATTACAATCATCATAATCATCCTCATCCCATTATCAAATGTAGCCTTAGCCTAATACCACGTCATCATCATCAATTTATGTATTACCTGATCAGCCGGTCTGTAAACCCTTGGGCGTGGAGGCTTATGTGTCGTTAACATTAATTCCCATTTCTAAAATAAGAGATTTGATATAAAGTTTATTACATAAATAATTTAACAGCAACATTTAATTAAGCCTACACACTTTTTCATATAAGAGACAAAGTATTGAAATTCAGATAAATCTGGCAAAACTATGTTGTTCAAAATGTAGGCCAAATTATCAATTTCGATAAAGGCGTCCATGGCAGAAATATCCTTTAATGAAAGTTCCTTTTTCCAATTTTATGAAAAAGGGTATCTCTAGATTCGAACCCGCACCCTCTCGGTACTATATATACACTATGCTGTAAATATATATAAATCCTTTTTAACGTTAAAGAACAGGAATCTGCGAGTGTGAAAATGTAATTGCCCAACCGGGATTCGAACCCGGGACCTTATGCTGTCTGTGCATACGCATACTGTATTAACCAACTAGGCCACTGATGATTTATTGGGAATTTAAATCCGATTATAGCATAGTATACTTAACACTCATGCGCATGAGATCAAAATAAAAATGATACTCCATCTCCTTATCAGCAACTGACGACAAGACGAGATCTCCGTAGAGATGTTTTTTTAATTAGTAAATAATGATATGTTATCTCTAATTTGATTATGATACTGCAGTTAAGTTATGGAAGGAAGATTCTTTTCAATTCTGTAGAAACAATTATGCTTGTGCTTTTTGGTTTACATATTGTAATTCGTTAGTAATAATTATTTGTTGCTGTTTTTGAACGCATCGTCAATAGACGATTGCCATTCAAATAAATATTAATACTGTACCACACTTTTTGTTGTGGAGTAAAGCACTTTGACATGTCAAGGTTACCTCCGGTCATCGGATCCGCTCCATATGCAAATAGTGTGCTGGAATTTATGTTATTGTGTGCATGGATTAGATTAGGACAATACAGGTAACAATCAGAATTAGGAATTCGTTAAAGAATGGCGTTAACAATGGTTTATAAGTAATGATAAGTATTGGAGTGTTCGTTTTTTTCCTTTTAAGTCAAATATTAATCTAGGCCCTATCTGAGTAAAAAAATGTTAACGAAAGCAAAATAAAGTAAACGTAATATTATTTTTAATTCTACATTAATTCTACATTGAGTTTAGTTCAAACAATTTTACTCGGATTGATATTTTACTTAAAAAGACAACAATATCAAAAACTGAGTAACATTTTTAAAACTAAACCGACACCAAAATAAGGTAAAAGTACAGTGTGCCCTCCAATTAAAGACCCCTCCACCCTCTAATTCGAGACCACATTTCCAAAGACCCAACTAACAATCTTCAACCTTTTATCACAAAGCTGGTCCTCTAATTGGAGACCAACCCCGAGACCACCACAAATTTTCAGGTCGCAAAGGTGGTCTCGAATTGGAGGGCGAACTGTAATATTATTTTCTTTACTGTACTGAAGAGAAGCGAGAGACTCAGTGCTGTAATAAACCAGGCTGAGTATTTGATAGCTCTTGTACTAGTAGTCCGAGTATGCAGACTAGTGTTAAACGGAATAACAACGTGTTGCACGTCTGAAAGACAAAACATAGAACGTTTCAGAATCTTTCCAAAAATTCTTTCCAAATACTTACAATTATTCAAAACTCTATTTCGAATTCCTGGATCCGGCGCCACTGTTCACGTTACAAAAACGCTGCAGTTTTGTGCACAAAATTTGTTTGTACATATAAACATAAAAGCGTATTTATGACGTAATTTCTGACTAAATTTGCAAACGTCCCTGCAACGCTGTGTTAAGGTTATCTTTATTTTCTGACATAATTTAACCATAGAGGAATAAAATATTTTAAAACGAAGCGAAATTTGTAGTATTGGAGTATTCTGTAGCCAATTATGTAAAGCTCGAACGTACTCTAGTATATGTATATGCTATATATATATATATATGCTATATATATATATAGTATATATATATTTGCATATATATATATCTGTGTGTGTGTTTATGTATATGTATGTTTTCATGTATATAGGCCTATGTAACAGATTATTCTTTTCCTTAAAAAAAATGTAAATTTTTTTTAAGGTGTGCCGACGATTAAAAAAAGTATCTATCCATCTGTCACACGCTAACGCCCCATTTGCAAAGATATGACTCTCATATGAAAGTGTATATTATATAAATTTGCACTTACCGATGCTAAATGGTACGTCCGACGTAATACTCACTGGGATAGGCCAGATAAACAGTCTTTCTGAGAGAGTGACCGTCGATATTACTCTATCCAGCAGACAACCTTCGAGCCACATGACTGAGTGCATTTGAATGCATTTTTTTAAGCCTTTGACTCACACAAACAAAGACAAATCAGTATCGGTAACAACACGACCTCATGGAACTGAAAATGATCAAAAGACGATTACGGATTTATTGTTGTTTGTGTAGAGACAGTAAATAGGTTCCACCACTAAAATTGATCTCCCACCATTTATATTGGAAACTAGTATAACAAGTGAAGTCGGTACTAGGATATGAGTGAAATCAGATAAGCGGTTTTGAAATGTTTGTCATGTAAGAAAAACTGGTGCTAGAAACAGAGAAAGAATATGAATGACATGTACACCACGTAGGTAGTTCTAAAAAGAAATGTTGTTGGTTGAGAATATCTGGACGTTTTGATTGAGTTGCTCCAATCGTTTTCAGGAGAATAATATGAGCTATGAATGAAATTGATTTAGATGGGAATATAGCTTTAATTCAACAATACCACGACTTTACGCTTTTATAACAAATTTAAAAATGATTATGTTACAGAAGGTTACTTATACAATTTAAAGTTTAAGCACAGCGAAAATAGAACAAATAGTTCTATTTTCTATATGGTTTAAGTTAGGACACATTTATCGAGATTTATTTATGGAGAAAGGAAGACATCTAAAAATTGTTAGAGAAAATAGCGTCTGTTTTATCAGTGATATTGGAGAAATAGAGGATGAATTATTCTTTTTATTTAGAAGAAGGACAAAATTACGAAATAAAAAAAGAAAGAATCCTTAATTGAGTAGGCCTAGGCCTGTACTAATGGCCCACTTTTAGTGGCATCCCAAAGTTATGTCATGATTTTTATATAAAATATATGAAGGACGTATATTTACACACAGAGTGTTTGTTCAGAGCAGTCGAGTTTTTAAATAAATACCCAAACTATATCATGGGGTCTTGTTTGGTCCATCCAGCCGGAGCTGATCATTAGAGACCCTCAATACGTAACACAAGTAACAAAGGAAATATAAATAGATTAACAAAGAAATTAAAAAGATAAAATAATAATTTAAAAAAAAACAAATAACAAAGGGAAAGAAATTATTACAATATATATATATATATATATATATATATACATATTATATAAATTAAAAAAAATAAAATCAAATTTACTATAAAATAATTAAAAGCAGAATAATAATGGCAAAAAAGCAAAAAAGTTAAAAAGAAAAACTAAACAAAGTAAAAATATACAAGTTTAGGAAGAAAAAGACAGAGACAGAGGGGTGGGGAGAGAGAGAGAAAGACAGAGGGGGAAAATAACTAAACCATGGAGAGAGAGAGAGAGATAGCTTTTGAGGTTATATTTAAAGGATGAGATGCTTGTAGAATATCACTGGTTCGATTCCTGGAGGAGCCCATGTTTGGTTTTTTTATCCTTAAAAACTAAACAGCTACAATATCGATTTTATAGCAATATAAATTAGGCATATTTACCATCACAATTAACAATACTGTCACGGATACCGTGATCATTACAGTCGATGCACTTTAATCTGTTATTCAGATATTTGCGATAGTGACTATTTGTGACATACAATGATAAGTAAAAAACTTTCACATCACCAGTATTGCACTTAATCTTATCGACCAAAGTGTTGTTAATGTCATTGCAGCCATTGGCTGAGACATTTAAAGGGCAAACATAATATTTTCTCGATTTAAAGTTATTACACAAAATCTGGTTAATATTCACCTCATTGCCTTCCTGGTCAAGTGGTTGTGACGTTCGCCATATGCGAAAGGTCCAGGGATTTTTTTTTTCTTTTTTTGTCAGGTTTCTCTTCTGTCTGTCTATACCTAATCATCGAGCCCCACGTGACCTTTGCTCTCCCCATCAGCCCTCCCCCACCCATTTAAAGACTCCCAGATACAACACCGACTGGGACACGTCTGCATTCATTAATCAACACTTACAATCATCCCAGAAACTTATAAAGAGCATTGACTACACACTAACTAACCTAATCTAGAATTAAAAACAATCCCTTCCCGGACATAATTCCGGTTATTTTCCTATAATTTCTGATGGCATGAAAATGACTATTTACCCCTGCAGGTTGTATTACGCGTATAGGTTTATAAAAGAAAAATAAATATTTGTTGTTAATTTGTTGTCAATTTTTACATACTATTGTACTGTAATTTTTACATAGGGCCAAACATTTAACAGAGGGACATGCCCCCTTCTCCCTTAGCTACGGGTCTTTAAAAAATGGATATTTCTACTAAGCCCGTGGATATATTGCTATGAATTTATAGCAATCGATAATTCACATATTCATTACTAACGTGTTATCGTGGGAATGTACAGTATGCTAAATTGAATGTTTCTATTACCCTTCACATATGGTGACGTTCGTGCTTCCATGGCAACAATGATTGAAAACGCATTATAATGTTTGTTCAGTTATGTGAATATTGCTCAGTTTGTTATAGGGCTTCAAAATTTGACATAATGCCTAAATCCAAGCAAGCTGCCGATGACTCTGTGAAAGAGAAACCGATAAAGCCTACTACAAAAACGAAATCAACAGATGAGAAGCCACGAAATCAACAGATGAGAAGCCACAAGGAAAAGAAACCAACAGCAAAACATGCAAATGACGACTCAAACAAACCCGGAAAAGAAACAGAATCAGAAAAGCAAACAGCCGAGGAAAATGCCAATGACCAATGTAGATAATAATGCAGGAAAGAAGAACCAGGCGAAATCACCAGATAATGGTATGACAGGAAATGGACAAAATAAGTCCTTTGACAACCTTTTACAAAAAGACAAAAATGCGTTTTGCAAATGGTTCTTTGGATCATTAAAAGGCAATGACTTAATTGATGCTTTAAATGCGTACGGCGAAAAAGTCGACGAATCTAGGCGTGATTACATTCGAAGAGAGAAACACCGACCCCACATATACGGTGTTGTTTTGGATTACAACTTTGAAGGCAGTTTAGGCGATTGGAGATTCTGCAAAGTTGGTATCACTTTAGTTAAAAGAGACAGTAAAGATGATCGGGCAGGCATTGTAGAAAAAAAGATAACTGCAAAAAATGAAAAATACAATAAAACAACGTGTATTTTGTGTCTACCAATCAGAGCTACTGATACAACTAACATTTATGAGACTGAACGCAGGATAAGACGAAACATGGGATTTAACGTTGATAAACGTCTAGCAGAGGAATTGGATCTGCCAATAAAAACTGAATGGGTGCTGATCAAAGTGGACTTCATTGGAAAAGTGAAAAAAGAAGCTAAAAAAAGTGATGCAACCACTTATATATTTATAAGATGAGCTCCATTCAGCAAGAGAAGCTGTAAAAAAAGAGATCCCACCTAAAACGATCAAGTATAAAGAAAAGGACTTGAAAACAACTGTTGATAAAACAGGTACCGGTACTGAAGATGAAGAGAAAATCTACCGGTATTGCTACAAACCTGACAGCGTATCAGAAAAAGTAGAAACAACTTAGCTAGCCAGGGAGTGATAACCTGACAAATTGACACACTGTTAGGAGCAAAGTATATAGATACTTCATATATACAACATAAACTGACTTCTCTGAGATAGTAGGGTAAGAAAATGTGTTATAAAAAATAAATATAAATGAATATAAATGTTCTTTTTTTAAATCAACATGAAAATATGATTTAGGTGTGTTGAAATTTCTGCATTTTCGGAATTCCGCTGTGTAAGTGTAACAATGGGTAAAAAAAATTGTGTTGCTTATGAAGCCTGATAAACCAAAACTCTTAAAAATTTAGGATCATCCCTTTTGACATTTTCTTTTGCCTAGAGGAGCACATCACACTTCGCTGTAAGGAAATACTTAGAATAAAAGTGAGTTGATGGTAGTAATAAATAGTAGATGAGGATGGTAGTGGTGGTGGCGTAAGTAATGGTAGTAGTAGAAGTAAGGATAATGGTGGTGCTGCAATGGTGTTGGTTTGATAGTAATAGTCCCGTCGCGGTGGCCGTGTAACTAATAATCGATACTGTATTATTTAGAGTATAAATGTATGCAGAAAATGGACAAGCTTTGACAGCTTTTTAAAAACAGACAAATGAGCGGTGGCGGTGTAACCAATAATTGATACTTGCTATTTCTTCTATATATTGTGCAAAACGTATGTAAACCTCAATGTAATGGTACTAGTATCTCACACGACACAAATCCGCATTATTTATTAGTGCCTTACTGGTACTTTTGAACTGTAACTTTGTTTTGTTTATATCAATGTTGAAATAAATCTTTACAAATGTATTTCTTACTAGTAGCGAAATAGTAGTAGTGGTAATGAATGACAGTAGAAACATTAGTGGTTGTGTGGTGAAATTCACTACTAAAGTGGCGACCGGGTGCAATAGTTGTAGGCCTGGTAGTGGTGACGAGCATGTTTTAGTGGTATTTCTATTTTTCTTTCTTTATTATTATGGTCTATACCTTTTTCATAATTATTATTATAATTTTAATTACCATTTTAATTTTATTAGATAAGCGCAATGTGTGCTTGGTTTATTTAGTAAAACGACAATATATGTTGATTTGGGTATTAAAATATACATGGAAAAAAAACGCATTCCGTTTCCTTTTTTGTTGTCACATAAAGCAGAAAAAGTTTGAGAAGTTAAGTAGTGAATAGGGTGAAATCTGGATTTATACTCTGACTGTTAAGCTATAAGGATTCATTGTCAGTGCACACGGGTAGTAGTAGACAAGGCCGCCAAGAGGAGAAATTGTAACAGGGTTGGTGCGGGCCCCCAGTTACGAGCGCGAAGTGCGATAAAAATGGAACATTTTTTTTTGGGGGGGGGGGGGGGGGCGTCAATCTGGAGGGGCCAATTATTAGGGGACTTATGCCATTAATGAGGACCCATGATAGTAATTAATATTTTAAAAAATATATATATATATAAATAAACAAAAAATGCTACCTGCAATTTCTATGGGCTCCCTGGTAAGATCTTTCCCCTGCCCCTCTCGGTGGCACTGGTAGCAGCTACCACCATTTCAGCTGACTGCGCCACGGTGCGTCCAAGGATCTTTTATTTCCAATCCATACTTACAACTAGAGTTTCTGTGTCTGAGTACCTACAATATACAGGCTGTGTATGATGGGAAACTACAGCATACCCTAAAAAAAATAATGAAATCGCCTGTCGTATTCAGGCACATTATGTTCTTCAGTGCTGCAGGATGACCTCAAGAAAATAATAAAATCGCCTGTGGCATATTCAGGCAGCGAGTAGAGTTTCATGCATTATGTTTCGCACGGGAAAAAAAATTGCATTCAGGCACATTATCAGTACTCCCTGAATACGAGGGGCGATGCCATTATTTTTATATATGCTTGAGGGTAAAAAAAAATCGAATTTCCGTGACCTCAATCGTTGACCTTTCCTTCCGAGCATTGAATGGTGTCTTTCTTAGATTATTATGTACCATTTTACTAAAATTATCCATTTATTAATTTTTGTGTAATCTTGCTAAAAGACAGAAAGTGGTGAATACATAACCTTCTTTGGTAAAGGTAATAAGAAATTAAGAATTTGAGTAGAGAAGCAAGCCAAGCTAGGCTTAAAAAATCTTAAATACCATCAGAAACAAGGACCTTCTTGATCAGAAATGATGTAGATCTTAAATACCAGGGGCGGATCCAGTAAGGGCACGGGGGACACGTGCCCCCCTCAAGTTTTGCCACTAAATTTTAAAATTTCAAGACATGTTGAAATTGGCGCACTCACTTATCTATTCTGAATATGTTGTGCCCTCCACCCCGTTTGAAAAGTTATGGATCCGCCCCTGAATACATCAGAAGTGATAATAATAACGAAAGATATCTTTTCAGACTTTGTGTCAGTGGTTAATACTGTACAATGAAATAGTGTATAACATAAAAATGCCTATGAGGCCTCAACATTCTTCTTTAATGTTATTCTCAGATCATTGAAAAAAAAATCATCTGGTTCCTGTAATGCATTGTTGATAAACTTTCACTTATGCATGGACCAAAATAACATAATTATTTACCTGGATGTTTCCATCACAATCGGCCATCATTTTCAACTGACTGTGTTGTTACTTCAGTCTGGTCATGACGTCATCAGTCCGATGACGTAATGCGCTGATGTAACAAGACAGTCAGTTGTAAATATCGCCGATTGTGATCGAAACGTCCAGGTAAATACTGATGTTATTTTGTTTCATCCATTAATGAAAATTAAACAACCATTTATTACTGATGAAGTTTATAGGTGATGTGAAATTTTCCATTTACTAAAGAACAGCTTTTGTAATTCATGCAACACTTAGATATTTTTGTTTATAGGAATTGTTTTAGAAAATATTTTCAGTTTATTCTATTTTCTCCAAATTACACAAAAAAAAAAACCAATCTTTGTTCGCAAAGAAGACTGTACAACATCATCTATATTTCTGTCCAATATATGACATTTTATTTCAATGATAGTTTAAGATTACATATACATGGTATTATATAACGATACAGTATTTTCAAATACATATTTATATAAAATACATTATAAACAACATATCAAACCAAAATTAATATAGCTGCAAGGGAAAACATAAACGTACTTGATAAAACAGACAGCAAAAATCAACTAGTTCTTAATTATATAAACAAGCTTGTAACATAATATAGATATTTATATAATATATATATAATACACATACATACATACACCCATACATACACACATAGGCCTATGTGTGGGTGTGTGTGTATCTGTTGATAATATACTTTATATACAGGATAAAAAGACAGAATTATACAAACAACCCATGGATAAATATTATTCTGTGAGTATACGTCCCTACCTCTGCATGCATAGTTTTTGTAACTTTTCTTTTTTTTTTCACTCGGAAATAAAATTTGGAAAAAAATAAACTATTTATTGTTATTAATATATGTCAATGAAGAACATAATAATCTATTTTAGATAATACAAGTAATAATTCAATCAAAAAATCTGAATCAATCAGCAACAAGATAAAAAATATTTAATCATTTTTCAGTTCACAGTACTGCTTAATTGATTACATAATTATTGCTTATATTGTAATGATAAAAATTCACAAACATATCACTACAAAAACAACAGTTTCTTATGTTTCATGTTAAATAGATTGAAGAATATATTATGCATTATTCTTAAAGTTATCTTTATAATTTACAATCACACAGTGAGAAACAAGATAGTGTAATACATACTCAAAGTATTGAAATGCACATCATCGTGTTGGGATTCAATATTTCGTCATTAATTATGTCATCATCAGGAGTGATGAGACACTGTCCACTAATTTCTTAAATATACATAGTCTCTCTGGCATAAAACCAACTTCGATAGTAAAAGGTTGCAGGTTTATATTCCACTGAAAACGAACTGTTCGTCGACGACCTATGTTACATACCGTATATGATACAAAAATGTATATCATATACATAAGTAAATATAAGTTATTTATTATTTTATTATCTTCATCATCGTAACATTATCAATCACAAGGTGTACTTTTATATTATTCTGCTCCCCCCCACCCACCTTTTTTTGTTCGTGGCTTTTCTAAAAAAAAAAAAACACAGGCTCTATCCTTGCTACTTGGCCAGCATATAGATCTACATCTAAAGTTTTGCATGTGACTTCTTGGGTGAGGTCACAGTCACATTTTGTGAAATTTTAGGACTGATCATAAATTCCTCACCAATAGGCAATATTCAATGAATCTTGACACACATATACTTCATATGAAGGATCAATTACTTTTCGTCCTCATCTAATCAAACGATGAACTCAAACACAGCTATGTTCATTAGGGTCTCGAAAAAGACCATGAAATGGATTCCGGATTGACGTTGAATCATTTGTTGCTATTCCGTCATATGTGGCTGGATCACCTCCACTCGAGTTATCATATACATCATCGACACCAGAATCACGATTTCTATGATTCTGGAATGATTCATTTGGTTTTGAGACAATTTCTTTCAGAGAATTCAGTGCAGACATTTGATACTTGTAGTCATTCTCATTGTCACCAAAATCGGTCTGCGGTAGAATGATTAGCGACGGATCCGCGTCACAGATGATGCTTACATTGGGATTCGGCCTTGTATCCCTTTGGCTCTGTTTTGTAAATATTTTCAATTTGACATCCGTCGAGATATCGTTGAAGTCGAAGAACCAATGTGGCTCCGATCTAATTTTCTTCTTCATTTGATCAACTGCTATTTTGAGTTCGACTCCTGCGTCCATACTGGAGTCCCAAGTCTGCAGAGCCGGTATGCTGAAGTCATGGCATGCGCCATGTTTTTCCATGTCATTCAGAATATAATACATCTGTTCCACATGATCCATTAATTGATATTTCTGTAGGAATTTCAGCGGCTGCGGTATATCGTCCTCGCTTGAATAATCCATGTAAGCGACTATGAATTTCTTTGGGTCTTTCGCAATTTCCAGTCCCTGAAGCCTCATAAATGAAGAAAACAAGTCTCCCAAATTATCTTCATGAATCTTGATGTCTATTTGCCGTGATTGAGCGCGCCATTTTATCAGTGTCCCTTGAGAGCACAATATAATTACCTTGTCAGCCTCTTCGCATTCTCTATCCATCCACTCATTCACACCAACTGCAATATCAGTAGTGCTCCAGAGGGCGGTGTGTACGTCCAATTTGCAGACGTTGGTCAAAAAAATGCAGAGTTTCAACACAACCTCCTTGTGGAGTTCATGATCAAAAGAGTGAATGACGAATACACGCTTTGTTGTCATGCCTAAAATGAAAAGGTCTTATTACGTAAAAATTTCTATTACACTTGAAGATATGGTGCAACTTTAGGTAAGGCAACACATGATCATATGATACAGTTGAGATAATACATCATGTGATCATATATTATGTGATCATTTGATGTGATGAGGTAATACATCTCCATGATGTGACCAAGTGATGCAATAAGCCAATTTGTATTTTGGCCATGCTACCATATCAAGTTCAATCGACATAAACAAACATGCACACAACACAGGTTTATGTTGATTGACTTGGGATACGGGCATACACAGTTCAAACTACGAAATGGCTTTTGGGGTAATACATCAGGTGATTATGTTATCATGTGATGCGATTTATACATCACATGATCAAGTGGCGCAATTCAGATATTCTAATACGTCACATGATCAGGTGGTGCAATATACCATTTTGTAGTCTGAACTGTGCATGCCCATGTTAAAGGTCAAACAACTTAAGCCAACATACACACAACATAGGTTTAAGTTGATTGACCTGGGATATGCATAGGCATGCGCAGTTCAAACTACAAAATGGCTTATTGAGATAATACATCATTTGATCATTCAGTGATGATGCAATACATGTACAGTAAATACATCATGTGATGTGACTGAGGTAACACAACTTTGCAAACATGCAGTGCAACAAGGTAATACATTTATGCAAGTATTCCAGAAAAAGAAATAGATTTACACATAGACTCATATGGAACTTACAGAAAATGGAAGAATAAGAGAAATTTATAGAGGTTTGTGACGCACATTGATAAAATATAAAGAAAATATGAGTGGAGGGAGGGGGAACTCATATTCAAAAGGTTTGGTAGCTATTTAAATACTATAAACAACTATTCATAAGAATACTATACATGCATTATGGCGACCACTAAACTTTTGCAAGTTATAAAACCAAAATTTTGAGATTTGATCATATTATGGCATGATGATATCATATCACACCCATATATGCACAGTGGCAGATCCAGGAATTTGGAATAGTGGGTGCTCAGAGGGAGAATTTCACAGATGGAGGGTCTAGGCCACATCAGCCCCATCATGGTTGGGAATGAGGTAAGAAATTCATGATTATGTACCTTAAAATGACCAGAAATAGTGCTCTCAGACTTAACTTTGATAGATATAAGAGATAATTTTCTATTTTTCTCCATTTTTAAAATAATTTTTAAATGTTTTATGAGGGAAGGGGGAAAGGCCGATACAGCTGCCCACCCCTCTTAAATCTGCCACTGATGAATGTAATTAAACTTGATAGAGTGGACACAGCTTTAGGGTTTATTTTTAATAACAATTTTTATCTTAATTTAAAAAACAAAAAACATAGAATGACCACCCACTTCATGGTATCATTATCAGTAGTACAATCACTTAAAGTCAGGCTCCGGAGGAAAACAATTTTTTGATATGTTGTAGAACTGATTTTTCTGAGACAGAAAAAAGTTGTTTGATGAAAAACTGAGCAACGGTGAATGAGATACAGATTTTTGAATATTTAAAAACTGGGGGAAAAAGGTGTAAAAATGGGTGGTTATGCCCCTTTTCCCCCAGTTTTTAAATATTCAAAAATCTGTATCTCATTCACCGTTTCCCAGTTTTTCGTCAAACAAATTTTTTCTTCCGGAGCCTGACTTTAAAAAGAAACAAAAATAACACCTTTATCCCTACAAAATACAAGAGCTATCTGCCATTTGTGGCAAAATGTGTTTGTGTTCTTACATACACTACACTTACCAAGACTAATAAAAACACAATTGGGTCTTGTTAGTTGATTAATGCATTTTTAATGTTTAGCGTATCTTTCACCATGTATCAAAATAAATGATATGACAAAATGTGGGAGAAGAGGTTGGTGAAAAAATTTAAAAATACAGGCCCGTATCCAGGGGGGGGCCGTATCCGGGGGGGGGGGGGGAGGTTTATGGTTCGGGAAAACTCACTTTTCTAGCAAACCCCCCTCTTCAAATTTCCCAAATAAGTCCTCCAACCAAACTAATGCACTGCAAACCCACCCAGACACAGACGTTTTCAAACATATCTGCTTTTATAGCATTATTTAGACCCATAAAGCACAAAAATCCTCTTGCTTTGGGGATTTTGCCGACCCCACCAGGGCTTTGACCGTGGACCTCATGCCCAGAAAACCACCCCCCCTTGAAGGACCTGGCTACGGGCCTGAAATAGTTTTCAATTTTCAGTGTTGATTTCATGATCCAAAACAATTATATGTTTGCTAGCACTCAACATGATCATAAGTTCAAAAAATTGTCTTTAGATTCAAATTTAAAATTTAAATTCTGAAACTTTATTAGTGAGGAAATTTACAAAAAATACTGTATGTTGCATATAAGGATAATAAATAATAAATTTGTATTATTATTATTATTTATCTTGGTATGGCAAAGAACTAATAGTGGCTTTGGGAAAGCGGTAACATTGTTGAAGGGAAAACACTGGAACATGTAAATTTGAAAAAAAAGCAACTGATTGTTCACATTCTCTTGCACATGTGTAGTGGAACAGCAATATATATACACTGAAAAAAATATTAATTGTCTTGATAATATATTATCGAGACATACGTGGAACCTACTAATACTAATAATATAAGTAAGTTGGTTAATACATCACTTATACACACACATACATATACACATACACACAAACATATATATACACATATATATATATATATATATATATATATACACACACACACAAGACTTTTCAGTGATTCATAAACATGGACTGCTTTCATGATACGAAACCAGAAGAATTGCTTTGATATTTCACCAAAAGACAGAAGGCAAAGATAGTTAAACCTGAATGCTTTATATCTAAAATGAATACTACTTTGATTAAATACTGGAAATTTTAAATTTAGTTTGCAAGGTTAGATTAGATGGCTAAGGATTAAAAGATAGATTAGTTGCAATTAAAATTTTGGAATAAAAAAAAAAGTTTTTCCCCTTTTGATGGAAGTGACTAGCTGCGTAAAGTTCTGTTCACAATATCAAGATGTATATGACAAAAAATTGTGATTTGCCCATATATGGCCATTATGTCATATCATGCTCAAACAAGGACATGATCATGTCATACCACACACATACATGGACTGGTGATGTCATATCACACTCATATATGGATATGGTGTTATATCAAACCCATACATGTACACAGTTATGTGATATTACACCCATAAATAGACATGATCATGTCATACCACACACATACATGGACTGGTGATGTCATATCACACTCATATATGGATATGATGTTATATCAAACCCATACATGAACATAGTTATGTGATATTACACCCATAAATGGACATGATCATGTCATACCACACACATACATGGACATGGTCATGTCATATCACATTCGTATATGGATATGATGTTATTTCAAACCCATACATGAACATAGTGATGTAATATCACACCCATACATGGACATGTCATATCATACCCATACATTGACATGACATATAATACCATATATGGAAATGATGATGTCATATCACACTCATACATGGACATGGTCATGTCATATCACACCCATACATGGACACAATTATATCATATCATGTCATATCACACTCATATATAGATATGTTATATTACACCCATACATGGACATGGTGATGCGATATCACACCCATACATGGACATGATGTCAAATCACATCCATACATGGAAATGATGATGTCATATCATGCCCATACATGGACATGGTGATATCATATCACACCCATACATGGACATGATGACGTCATATCACACCCGCACATGGACGTATCATATCACTCATATACAGTATGGACATGATTTTATATCACACCCATACATGGAGATGGTGATGTCCATAATACACTGTATTATATGTACTGTACATGAATTTTTGTCCCATAAACCTTGAATGTGTGAACAGAGCTTCAGAAGTCTTCATAGCATGTTTTGTCATTCAACAAGGCCAGCAGTTAAAAACATTACCTCTCGCCTACAATTTCAAAATTAAGAATTCTTTCACAGATTACTCATGCGGATTGCAACGCTCTTCAATAAACCGGCAAATATTCCTAGAAAAATCCCCACAGCTGTTAATTGTACATACATTTTCAAACTTTTATAATATATTGTTGAGTGGTAGGGTATGAAATTTATGAAAGGGTGGTTAGAGGGCGAGTTGGATGCCTTATGCCGGTTACTCACTGCATGCGATGGCGACGCAACGGCAGCGCGACGAAGGACACACACGAAGATGCGGACCCAACAGATCGTGTTTTAAATGAGGATCTGTTCAAATTGCCACTGACAATCAGCAGACAGCATTGCGTTGTCTATCGCTCGCCGGAAGCATATGTGGATTCGTCGTGAGACGGTCGTATGATGCAGTGAGTGTCCGGCTTTGAATAAGCCATTTCGGAAAGAGACACAACTGTCCATGAAATAAGAGAGAGGCACTTATTCAGGATCTTAATACAAGAGAATAGAGTAATTTAATATGCAACTCCCAAATGTCTGTGGGACTAGCTTAGTGGCATATATATACATATATATATATATATATATATACATATATATACATATATATATACATATATATACACATATATATATACATATATATACACATATATATATATACATATATATACATATATATATACATATATATATAAAATCAAAACAAGATGACGCTTGGTTACAAATTCAACATTTTATTGCACTACAGGCTGTTTCATGAGGTACTTCCTCAATCATCAGGTGCTAGGCTCTGAATCAATATAAATACATATATATATATACATATACATACATATATACATAT